GAGTAAGATGCTTGCTGACCTGACGGTCCAGGGTTCAATCCCGGCATAGGTCGAAAAATTTTTCAACCCTGTCAGTGATGCATGTAAGAGGGCCTGACATGAAAAAGCGTCAGGTCGTTGGGATGGGAAATAGACTGTGCACGTTAAAGATCCCTCGACAGATTGGAATCGAAAAAGAGCTGGCTAAGGCCACTATCCTGGCCAAATTTCCCTCATTGTACGTCTTCATTAGCCCACATGGTGCAGAACAGGATGTAAAACTCCATTCATTTCATTTCTTTTTCCCCTCTCAATAGGGTGAGTCTTTGTGGCAACCCAAATCTAGTTTTCTTTGATCATTTGGACAGTTCTGCAGCTCTGCAGAAAATGGCAAAAGTAATTCAACACATATTTGAATTTGAATATCTTTATTTTTACGTTTTAGAATGGTGAAACTGGTCTTCATGCTGCAGCTCTATTTGGTCATCTTAAAGTAGTGAATTATTTATTAGATCAAGGTGTAGATCCTAATATCAAGAACAAGGTAGGTGTAATCTGAAAAAAATATTTTGTTTCATTGATATTCTTTGGGTTACTTCTTTCCTATTCGTTCTAAATCAAATTCAACAGAATAATACAAGTTTATTCAAACTTATCAACAATATGGTTTAAAATTATGGTGTAGTTCAGTGATAAGTGGATATCCCAGAATTCATCATAAGGGGTCCATCACAAATCACCTGACAGAACCTCCTATACCTAAGTTATGTAAAAATTCAAAATATTCGATGTGTACTGGTACTTCAAAATGTGTTGAAACCACATCCACAGGAAATTTAAGGTCATTATTGTAACTTTAGCAAACAAGTCTGTGGGAGCACTTTTTCTGCATGAATTACTTCACCTCTATATATCGCTTTGAAGATCACTTTTAAGGGCTAAATTTTCCTCTATTTCATGTTCCCTTTTCAGAGCCTCGAGATGGACTGACCTTTTTCTTAAATCTACTTAAATATCTTTTCATTGGTTCTATTTTTTGACCCTAACGTAAAATAGCTATGTTTTTAGGATTTAAAAAGATTTTCATTCTAGAATGACCTGATCTTGTTATTCCAGGAAGGGCAGACGCCTGCAGACTTAGCTAGAGAAGCAGGGTATGATGGGATAGCTAAGTTTATAGAGAATTACACAGACGGCCAACCAGCAGAATCTTAGAGTGTGTTAGATCTGTTTTTAAAGTTTTACTGCTTTTAATAAACAACTAAAAATCATTATTTCATGGAGGCATTGATCACTTTTGGGAATTTTGAGCAGCGTGAACTCTCTTCGAAACCAAATTTCTGCATTTGCGAACAAGAAATTTTAAAGAAATAGACCTGTCTAAATATATTTTCATATTACAAATTGATGAAGATCTATTTGAACTATCCGTATCACTACTCAAAATTGAAATTAGACATTATGTTCTACTGTAATTTACGTTGAGAATTTCATCACTGTGCTGTTTGGACACCATTGCATCATGGGTTATAACTACTCATAAAAGTTTAATAACAGGGAAAGTGGTTTATGCATTTATGAATTTTGATTTTTGTTGAAGTTTGCTATCAGGGTGTTTTAGGAGTAGATTTTTATACTAAATTTCAAATTTGGATTGTTTCTTTTTAAATTTCATATTGAAGGCTTTGTGTTTTAAATGTTCTGTGAATGTTGTTTAAAGGGATATAGCTGACTTTAGCTGAATTAAATTCCAGTTACCTGTATCACCTTTAAAAGTTAAATTCTGAAATTAAGTAAAGTACAATAAACTAAGTATTGAATGATATAATATAGGTGTCATTTGGGAGAATCGGCCTTGAAGGCACTTTTATGGAATTCCAGATTTTAATTCTTTTAAATGCTATATAATTATGGTGTTTTGACTGGAGAGGCCATATCCCTTTAAATCAAGATTTGATATTCTAGTCATTTTTTCATGAGGGTGGTAGCTTTTTATATGTTTTTACAGCGATTTACCCTTGTAATTGCAAATATAAATAGATGGCAAAATTATTAAAAGCAGCTTGCCAACAATTTTGACAAGCTTTTGTTTCTTTGGAAATATTCTGAAAAATTGACTATTATCTTCAGAACAAATTTATCTTTAAGAGCAAAGTGTAGAATTGAGATTCTTGTATTTGAGTTTGAAAAAGGTTTGATAATTGAATAGAAATTGAATTAGGAAATATGTATTGCAGACAATGCTCTTTTAACATAAATGACACTTATAACTATGTATATAACATATTTAAGTATTTATGATCTCATATTGTTATAAGATTCCACTAGAAATTCCAATGTAATTAGCATAATGAATTGTACATAGAATAAATTGTATTATAGACACCAATAGTCTTCAAACCTGACTGACCTCTATCTTATATCATGTAACCTTTGAACTTTGATTTCCTGAACTCCGAACTCATTGTGACTACGTAGGTGGTGCTTGATTGGTGAGTTCTGAACAGATTCTGTTTGTTCCAATTCTGGCTGAATCGAACGTTACAGAACCAGATTATGTCACATTCAGAATTCTCCCTTCTATTCTGTTCTCTGCCATTTGGAATACTGTCTGCACCTACTATTTTTTGACACACATGGAACATGTTCTTAACTTCAATTTGTTCCAACCTGTTTTATTAATTCCATGAATTCTGAATGTGAAGAACTCACAAATCTAAAAAGATCAGTGTGCAGTGATATATGTGTAGTAAATCTTTGCTCTGCACGACTTAATAGGCTACCTATGAACCTTGAATTTTTGGTTGATTCTGAATCTCAACTTTTACCTTTAGCTTGCTATTGCTTTTGGTGTCTGTGTATGATAGATCTAAATTTTAACTTTTTTACAGAGTGCAATGTGTGATTGTTGATAAGTTATTAAGTAATGTTAACACATTAGTAATTGTTAACACAGGTGTTTGATGACAAGATGATGTAATTGTAAGCAGAATAATAACTATTACCATAGATATATTAGTAATTGTAAACAGCTTATTATAGTATTAACATAGTAATTGCTGTTGACAGATTGGTAATTGCTGAAATTCTTTGATAAATACTTTAAATAGTATTGATTTGTTCTATTTTGTTTATCAGTAATTGTTGTTAGATTAGTAATTGTTAACTATTTTATTAAGAACTCCTCTACTTACAGTATTTATTTTGATTTTATTACAAGTTTTTAGATTAGACTCATCTTCAACTGTATTTATTACTATACTTTAGTTTAGAATTTATTTTAGCAGAAGATGTAGTGGCATATATTTTGATTTTTAGTGTTTATTAGTTTTAGTATTTATATAAAATGTTGTAAATTGTAATAATAGAATTAGATAAGGGATAGCTATTTTAAAAACGGGTCAAAAAATATAACGTGATTTATAAAAACAACAATAATATAAGCTGTTTGAATTAATTTACGTTTAAAAAGTGGAAAAAATAAACATTCTTCGCAGTGTTTTCAGGGATATCTCTGAAAATAACAAGTTTGAAATGTATGATTAAAAACTATAATAGAAGCATATAATGATTTTTCATCTAAATGAACTGGTTGTAGCATACCTAAGCTCCACCTACTTTCCTCTTAGATTCTATTTGGCTTTGATGCTAAGTTATTCAAGTATGATATATCAACAATTTGCTGAAAATGGAAATATAATATATGTTACAATTGACTGTTTGACGATGACAATTTGCTAATTTTTATTATATATTTAATAGCTTTATAGGTTGTGCTGAATAGCTTTTTATACATACCATATATTTTTCATTTACTGGTTTATTATTTTCTGAGAATATTTTTTAATGGATTGTTTATTTGAAAGTGCCTTGACTTTTGCTATGCTTTTTGTTTCACACTCTTTTTGCTAAATCAAATTTTACTCTGATTGCTCTTGTGTGAATTAACAGTCAAGGCAACTGACTACATTGTATAAAATAGACGGCTCTTGTTTATGTTTAGAATCGTTCTCAGATGTGTTGAAATCTTAGCTGAACGACAGTTCTAGCCTAAAGACAGTTAATGGTGGCATGTTGAAAGGGATTGTAAAGAGGTTTTATATAATTTTTATGTGTATTGGGGAAACTGATAACATCAACTGGTACCATTCTATTGTCAATCAGACGTCTATGGTTCCTGCAATTCCACTGAAACTATGTGTTTTATGATGTCATCAATCGAGAAATATGCTTTCTCACTTTCTCACTCACATCGCAATTAGTGACGTCATCAAACATTTAGTTTTAGTGGAATTGTAGGAACCACATATGTCTGATTGAAATGGAATGGTGATGCTATCAGAGTCCCTGATACACATAAGAAATTTAGAAAACCTCTTTACAATCCCTTTAAGTTTAAACAGTGAACATGGACATCAATATATTGTACATCAACATAGTTGCCATTTTATGTACATCGTTTCTGTTTCAGATTTAGAATATATCTAGTCAAGTTCTTTAGTTTTATTTTTTTATTATGGTTCCTATTTAAAGAAGAAGTACATTGATTGGGATAGTAGATTATTACCCTATACTCCCCAATACCAACATTCAACTACTGCATTGGTCACTTTTAATACCATTCTATCCCTGGGTTATGAGTTCTTCTATACAAAGTGGACTTCAGATGAGTCAGACATTTTGTGTTGTCTTAGGGGGGCACATTTTTTGTCATGGACACAGTTTTTGATTAGAATCTACTGTGTGCCTTTGCTGCCACAAAATTGTTGCTTTACCGACAGGATTTTGAACATAAATCCAGTTTGATATTTGTTGATGATTTTTGGCTCGTCGACAATTAGACCTGTGCTCATTTTGCTGAAATTAATTGAAGGCAACCCATATTTTGCTTTCAACTTTATAAATCTGGTTATATCAATAGAAGCTTTTGCAATAGTGATGTCATAAAACGCTTACTCTAAATAGAATAGCAAGAACCACAAACTGAAAATTGGTATGGCACAAATTGATGATATCAGTGTCCCAGATACACATTATATATTCCCTTTAATGATTTCATTGCAATTAAGTTTTAATCGAACTCACAAATTATTGGTTGATAAGAAATAAACAACATGTTTGTATTTGAATAGTATTATTCACAATATATAACAACTTAAAATATAACAATATGATGTATGCAAAAATTGTGCTATAATAAAAAATTAAACAGGTCTATTTAATATCTATATAAAGTGAATACATAAACTAAAGCAACTGAGTCTAAAATAATTATGTGATTCCCAATGATGATACGATTTATGATATTAATTTCATATTTTATTATTATTCCTAAGACTAAATTTTGGATCTAAATCTGCAGAAAATATTTCTTAACTGTTACTGTAAATAAGGTTCAGAATTGAATCTACTGTGAATAAAGTTCAGAATAGAAAATTGTTGTGAACAAGGATCAGAAAAGAAAATAACTGAATAAGTTTCAGAATTGAGGCTACTGTGAAAAAGATGTAGAAAAGGAAGCTACTGAGAATAAGGTTCAGAATAGACAATAACTGTGAACAAGGTTCAGAATATAAAATTGCTGTGAACAAGGTTCAAAAAATGAAGCTACTGTGAAGAAAATTTAGAATAGAAAATAACAATAAGGTTTAGACTAAAGCTGTGGTCTAATCACATTATTTATGATCATAACAAAAACTAAAAGCAATAAAAAATGTATTTATGTACATATACAAGCCATCATTTTAGCAATAATTTGAAAAATAACCACCAGAAACATGCTTGCCTTAAATACCATTGTCCTCCTATTCTGTTTACACAATGGGAATTATCCACATGGGCAATATGATATAAGTTATAATACAATTTCGATAAGATATTGAATTTTGATGTAAATGCATGCGAGGAGCAATTTTGACATCATATGGCATAGTCTATTGATTTGATTAGTTAATGCAAATTTTCATATCATTTGCAGATTGAAATGAATCTATGACTAAAAGGTTAATTTCTATACAATCAAAAATGCTTCATGTAAACAGGCTACAGGATGAAATGTTTCTGGTTTCTATACAGAAAAACTAGAATAGGAAAATTGCAATTGACAAAGCTGTTATCACAATAATTAATAATATCACTATTTACATATATATCACAATTTTATACATTACATTATGACAAAGGTGGGTAAAATATCTCATATTTTGCTGCTGGACTTCATTATAGAAATAGTAAGAACACAAAAAAACAAAATGGCTATTATAAAATGAGACATTTTCTGCTATTAAATCATCTTTTGATTTTGTCTTTTTTTCAAAAAGTAGAATTTTTTTCAAAGTAATATATGTCATTTGAGACAACACAAAATTTTGCTAAAAAATTCTAAAAATTCAATTCAAATACAAAAGACACATCTAAATATCAATAACAAAAATTTAATAACCAATTTCAAGATCTTTTTGACAAAATTTTTAGATTACAAAATAACACATGAAAATCAAAATTAATATCTGATTAAAATTACAAACAAACTAACCAAATAAAATAATGTTTTATATTTTTGAAACAAATTCCTTATGACTGTCACTACGCAATATAACACATAATCAAACATTGTATTGGGTGAACTTTGGCGCAAAATTTGACTACATCATAAGTATAGCTTGTTTTGAATGACATAAAATAGCATTGCATATGGACATCTTCAAGATTTGACTGGCAACACAACAGTGCAAGATGAATGATGTTTGTATAGTTTTTTATATTTCAAATATAGTTCACATGCAATATATGTAAAGCATAGCACTGTCATTAATATAAATATTAGATGAAAAGTGCATGTACATAGAACTATGAAGATATCATCCTAGATTGAAATGTGTAGTTTGGTTCAAAGATAAACTGAATCTTTACAAATCGGGTATTGAGTGATCCATTAATTTCTTGATCAAACTGTTTCCCATGCTGTAAAAACAAACATAAGAAATATATATGTTAATCCTACAATTTTACTTGATGTGAGACACTAATATGGGCCATTTCCTATATATTGACTTTCAAACCTGCTTCAGACATAAAATCCCGCGTCAGCTCAGCTGTGCTTGAGGTATATTTGGGATTCATGGAATCAACCCGACATTCAATAAAACAAGTTGGAGCAGAGCTCACTCTTTCTGAAGAGTTAAATTCTCATTTCACCTTAAAGATGGGTTTCCCTATTTTTTAACGTCAAATTAAGCAAATTATTTGATTAACAAGTGTTTCTAATAAATTATCATGTATTCTTAATCATATCATTATGTTCTTATTATACTAAGAGTTTCAACAAATCATAAATGTCCATGTATGTACTGTCTACTTTCTATTCATATAAGTATTAGCAGTTTCATTTTCATAAATAAAAAAAAAAGGGAACCCATCTTTAACACTAATTAAAATAAGAACTGAAAACTTACCACTTTTTAATGTGATCATATACAAAACAAGGCATGATAGTAATTGTGACAGTTCTACCTCCAGCATCTATTATTTCACCAATTTCAGTGTCCTGTTCATATACAAAATAATCAATATTATTCATTATTCAACAACTTCTATTTTCTCCTGGGCTAAGACTAGGAGTGAGTGTGATCATATTATTTATAATTAATAAATTGATAATTTGAAACACCAATAAATCTTTCTGACATGGATCAGAAATGGTTCCATGGTTAACAATGGTATTTGTGCTTATCACATCATTCCCTTTAAGAAAATGTCAAATCCAAATTAACGTTTTATTCCTATGAAATTCTTTTTGACAAATAAATTGTGTTCAAAATTTCGTTTTCAACAAACATTGACTGAATCTACATTAATGTTTTTTCTAAAATCAGTTCTATTTGGAACCAAACTTTACTTAACTATAGCTTCAAACTCACATTTGATTAGCACCCGCAGGTAAATGTACAGTTCCCTACAACATGAACCTATATCAAAGGCATTGCTTTGATAGGGAGCTGTGCATGAAATGAAATTGCTTACCTTTAAACCAACTACATTTTGACCATTGACTTCAATAAGTTGATGATCTGTTAACACACCATTCCTGGCTGCAGAGGAATCTTTGACTAATGATTTAATACGACCATTATTAAAAACAAATCCAATATATCCCACACTGTCTTTCTGTAGAGTTATAGTTCTTTCAAATGGTCTGTAAAAAACAAAACAAACTATTATTTTACCTGCTCATATAATATATAACCAAGCCATGTCCTATTATAACAATGGTCATTTTTTCCATAAGAATAAGGATAAGTCATGAAAGTTCATGTGGCTAAAGGAAATGTTAAGATAGGAAACTCTGCTTGGAATACGGCATTATCATGATTTATGTTTTCCACTTTGCTTCTCTGGAAATTTTCATTTCAAGATTCATGCCTTCATTTTCATTCGAAGTTTACTAGTAACAGTTTAAAATTCTATAAAAGAACACCTACCTGTCTCGGACAGCTAATTCAATTCTTCGTGGATCAGCTGCTTTAAACACCTTATGAGCTTTATCATTATCCCAGCCAGCTACTGTCTTACCGTCAATCTGTAAAATCTGATCACCAAATCTTAATCCTGCTAGAGCAGCTGGACTGTTATTCTGGACTAAAGCCACAAACAAACCCTGTAAATACAAAATGGATACCGTTAAAATGGATGCCATTAAAAAGGAACATATCATTTATTCAAATAAATTTCTGAAAATTTTAGATGACACCCCATCTTTTTTTCTCCCAAAAAATATCATATTCATCAAAGAATAAGCTTTGCTTTGTTACAGTTTAGGTTTTTGGCAGAATTTCTTTTTAAAGAATTATTGAAAACAATAACATAAAGCACATATCATATACTTTATAAGCTTGATCATTATTATGATATATATCATTATGTTCTTATGATATAACCTTATATCATGTGTATAACATAAAGCTTAAGCTTAACTATGAGCTCATGATAGAAACCTATTAAAATTATAATCATAAATGAAAACTAAAAAAATACCATAGAATAAGTCAATAAACATTAGATTTCAATTTAAAAATAGCTTTAATTACCCCACCCATAAAAAGGAAACAGACAAAACAAATAAACTTACATTATTAACATGTCTGACTCGGAGTCCCAATTTACCATTCTCATCTTTACATAGAATAACTGGTCGAATACCATGTTTAATTTCAGCTCTGGCTAGGCCTTTATTGTTACCAGTTATAGGAGCAACTACAGTCTTACCGCCTTGTGTTGGCACTGCCACCTGACAAAACAAAGAAAAACCATGAATAAATTGATAAAAGCTCATCTAAAGCTGCCGACATGTGTTTCTCATCAGCTATAAGATTCATTCAAATGGAGGTTAAGGTTAACTTTACAAAATATAGGACTTCAGTTGTATGAGCAAAGTCAGGGAACTTAATGAACAGAAGAAAAAAAGCAACAATGCTAAAATGCTACAGTACATGGACCACAAACATAAGACAATGCCAAATAATGAAACTTTTTTCCTTGCAGGTTCATACATAAACAAGGATTCAAAATTCAAAGTAATGTTCCCAGGTACAAAAAGCCAAAGACATTTGACAAATTGTTTACTTACTGGCATAGGTGTAACATTTGCTACTTGCATTTCTTGCACCATTTCTGGTGGAAGTTGAAGCCCCATATATTCTCCTAATGATGGGTAAAGAGAAGGTGAAACTGATCTTGGAACTTCCTGTACTGGAGCAAGAGGAGCTGACCCTGTTGCCTGAGGATACACCAGCTGTGGCATTTGATTTGTTGATCTTTCATGCTGAATTTGAGCCTAAAATAAAATATTCCATTTAATGTGTCCATTAATGATTACATAGTACTATGTTCCAGAATATTATTGTCTAACACCAAAGATATTAGTGGTGCTGTCTAACTGTTCTGTAAACAGTACAGATGTGGTTGATTCAAAGTCAAAGAGGTTGCACCTTCACCTTTGACGTTGCCGTAAATTCCCAAAATATCATGCCTGATATTTGCGTTACCAGCTGATAACCACCGAAAGTATCCATGAGAGGCTGGTAATAGTCTAAAAGTTTCCCACTGTATGTGTGAGCATTAAAATCATTTAAATGTCAACTATTTTGTAAAAACCCAAACCTATAAATGTTTGTACACACACTGTCATGAATTTTTATGGTAATTTTCCACTGCAAGCCGACATCTAATACGAATACTAATGATCTAGGTGATCTCAGCTCATTAATATGATGAAATTCAAATATTGTATAAATACTTACTTGATGAAGTTGATCAACTTTCATATCTTCTAATGAGGGATAAATCGACATTTTGAATTTCTCTTTATCTTATAACAATACTAACAAAAGTTCAACCTGAAACATACAAATTCACATGAATATAATCAGCTTTATAGCAACCAAACTAAGATGGGTCCCCCCTAATTGCCTCCCCCCCTGCAGTTTAGTCAGAAATTGGAAATGTTAATGTAGACCTATGTTGCCATAATAGAAAAGTAGCCATGGCATTAGATATAGGATACAATTAAGTAGTTCAACTATCTTTAAGGATATATACGTTCATAAAAATCCATTACTTTTTTCAATTAACTGAATGAAGAACATATCGTCAGAAAGTAAAACTAAACTCGGCTTCTACAATCAGTCAATAGCCTAATGTGTCACACAGCACTTCTTTTCTTGTGCTGTAGGCTTACATTCTATCTATATTATAATTCACAATGTCAATGTAAACATAAGCAAAAAATCCATAACTATTCCTCCATATTACTTCAAAACATTGCTGTTTACCTGATTATTCTTAGTCCCTGAATATAATTATGTTTAGTTATTATCGATACTAACCGTTATAACTGTTCTCTTCCACGAACTTATCAAATATTGTGAAATAAAACCGTGATAATGTCTCTCAATCTCATGCACGGAAATAATATGAATTGATAGTGACGTCAGTGGTCATATGTTTCTGACATCATCGAGTCTAATATGCCGAACTGCCCCAAAGACATTTTTCTATATTATGGTAAAGCTTGAACTACAAGTATAATATGAGGCAATGAATGAGGAAAAAAATTGCAAATATTTCTGCTACTATACACAAAGATTCACATGGTAAATGAACTTCAGTTTGGTATGTCGGCTATAATTTCTATTTGGAGAGGAGTGATGGCATATTGCAGACACCATGTCACAAGATTATAAAGCAAATACACAAAAGATAAGCTAAAAATAGAATAGCTTTCATGGTCCGTGGTAACAATGAGCTACCGTGTCACCTGTATTCGCTCACTGATAACAATTTTTGCGGAAAATTCAAATGCAAACAAATAAGTTTTAGAGTACGAAATACTTTGATTCTAAAATTTGAGACTAGCCTTAAACCGGAAGTGCATCTAATTCTCATCTCGTTATGGCCACCAAAACAGATTCGACTCCGAATGAAAAGCCAATTTATCAGCGACAGAGAAGTAACAGTGATCCCCCACTTTCAAAAGACGTTTTGAATACATTAACCTTAGACAGACCAGGTAATTATTCATTCATTTGATGAACAATCCCTTGTTTATTTTATGTAAATAAACGGACACGCCCAAATGTTTTGTAAAATTGTATAGGCCCTATACCTTTATTATTATAGTACTGGGTATAGTCTAACCACTTTTATACAAAATATACAATAGTGAATACAAAATGAATATTAAATTTTGGTGCCAAGCCTATAAAAGTGGGCAACAGCAATATGTACAACAAGCTATTAATATTATGTCATGGATTGGAAACAACAAGACATTAGGATAAGCTTATTATAAGTTTTATTATATATATATAAGTATACATCACAATGTTTCCAGTAGTCAACTTCAGTGATGCGGGTTGGAGGTGTTGGCATCTAAGAAAGAAATGATTTCCTAAATTTGATCCATTGTGAGGCACATACTGTGAATTTCATAGCTCCTTCATAGAGATTAGTTCAATGCCACTGCCCTGGCAAAATTTCCTTTGCATCAAAATCCAAATAAGCCTTAAATGGCATACAGTGGTTTTCCACCTATTCCACCCTTAGTGATTTCCTCTATTTTACATCCTCATGGAATTTTTGCCCGGATTATCTGATTATCCGTACCTATATAGGCCTACAGGTTGACTGGAATTATGTCTCCTTACAGGTCACTGGACTTTCACATGTCAACTGAGATTGGAACTAATGGCAATCATTGTTAGACATGAAAAGGAAATGACTCTAATGTCTTTTCTACAGCCTGCTCTCAAAGAAAGGCCCGAATGAAAGACAAGCCTGTGTCAAAACAAAGATGAATTCCAATGTTTGACTTACACTAGTATTCATGAAGACTGACAAGGCTTCAAAGTAATTTTTCAAGTCCAATGCTCACTAAGACATAAAATCAAATTTTAGTACTGGTATTTGAATTTTTAAGTCGATATAATATTTTAAGCTAAATGTTAAGGTTTTGAAGGAACCCAATCTATATGTATACCAAGGTATTGGACACTTTAAAACAGACCTAGTATGAAAAATAAGATTTGAAGTCTAAATTTCAGGTGGTTATATGCTTATTCCATACTTACTGTTTAAGTACTTCATGTGGAAATATATACAATTGTTTCTGCTACCTGAAGATATTAGAACCTATGTTGTTATCTTCGAAAATATGATTGTTTTTGTCTTATTTTTGACTAAAATGAAAAATGATAATGTGTAACACTGTGATCAAAACTGTAAGAATTGTGCTCATTGGTAGGTAGGATTATTCTGGATTTTTTGTTAACACTTGAACACCCTCTTAAACTATAATTGTATATAGTTATGGTATATGTAATTAATATTGATTATGTTATAGTCATATTTAAATTTGTATAAATTAGCTTTTATTGTGTTAACTGAACACATTTGCTACAAAAATTTTCCAGTTTGAAATATGAAATGATTGCTTTCAGATGGATTTCTCAGACTAAATTTTTCAAATGCAATGATCATTATACATGAAGCTTAGTTATCTGAAGACAACAAATGGAATTTGAAATGACATTTGTTTTATGTTTAGTAGATGTATATACCGCCATTTTATAGCAATTATTATATTATTCATAGAGAAGGATATCAATATATATAATAAACTAATGTAACATATGGTGTCTATATATAGACTTGTTAAAGTCTGACTTCCAGTTTAAACTTGGTATTAAACAGTGGATGATTTTCATGCAACTTGCTGTTTGGTATAATTGTTATTTTTTATGCCTAGAAAAATAAGCTAAAATATTGTTAGAGAATGTAAATTTTATGGAAATCACCTTGTTTTGAAGTAATTCAAGGTCAAGTAATAATAACAGTAATTATTGTGCAGGTATATGTATTTGCATAGCAACTGTATACATGCATAAAATAAAGTACATGCAATTCTACTGTTGACGTACAAGAATTAGGTGGTTAAAATTGATCATATTCATCATTGAACTCTTAAAGCACAAGCATTGTTTTTAAAGCTCAATGTTTCTGTCTGATATATTAGTAATTTCAATGAAGTTTGACATGGATAATTTGTTGATAGAATGGGATATATCCTTTAAGTTGACAGGATGATTTCACTGTTGCTTGACAGTTGGCTGTGAAAATTGATGTCAAAATGGAGACAGTATATAACTTGTTCTTATATTTGGAATGATATTTTGAAGTTAAGGTCTATATCAACCTATTTCTGGCTATTGATATGAAGACAGTAAGTTAATATTTTTTTAAAACTTGATATTTGACATATGAATTCAATAGGCCATTGATCCATAGGCTTATATGATTTGAGTATTTTTAATGTCAATTAAATACAAGTATGGCTTGGAAATAGTAGTTTTCGTGTTTGTTTTCTCATGCAACAAATTCTAAATTAGAAAGTTAACCACTTCTTGATGGATATTTATATCTGAAACAAACATTAACATGAGATGATCAGATATAATGGAATTGTTGTATATGCTCAAGAATCCAATAAATCTGTAGTTGGTTTATTATTTATGATGTCATATTATTTCTTTCACTGCCACCTAATGTTTGTGCATTTGTTCTCAACATCTCATGGATAATAAAGAGGATATGAATTTGTGGGTTTCTATTCTTTCCTAAGTATTATTTTTGTACTATTTTGTTTCACATTATTCAACTATACTCCAAGCTAAATAGTGGAGGAGAAATGTAGCAAGGACATCCGAGCCAATTTCAGTTTATTTCTCAGGAAATAGGGAGTGACAAGCAGGATGTTCTCATGTTTGTTCTTCCTATTCGAAACTTGTTCTATAAAATATGGCCGAAAATTGTTATTCTCTGCATTGATGTGGTGCAAAGTGCTTGGTATGTCATTGTAAACTTCCAAATAGTAAAGAAGGCTGGAAACTAATTTGACACTTGCTGAAATAAAATAGAGGTTTGACTGTCAATTTTAGCTAAAGAACTCTTGATTCTATTTATTTAATTTATCTAATAGACCACCACAAAGTTTTGTAGCTGCCAACATTTGGAGAGAAATTAATATATGCCTGAAATGTATCCAATCTGAGAAAAAAGACCTTGAGAAAGTACAAAATTGTGATGTGAATTTTTGGAGTTACTCCCCTTTGATTGGTAGACTTTTAAAATAGGATGTTAAAGGGATTGTGAAGAGGTTTTTAAATTTTTTAAATCTATCGAGGACACACTGATAACATCATTTTGCACAGTTCCAATTGCAGAAACCAGATAAGCCTGATTGAAAATTGGAATTGTGCAAATTGATGCTATCAGTGTCCCTGATACACATAAACTAAAGTACATGCTGATGCATGTACTTATATTAGCTAAAACTGAAGTAAGTGGGACTTACAATTGTACTTACTTTGATTCTTTTAAATGGTAGAAAATTGGAATATACATTGAGTATCATAGTTAAAGGATGAATGCATTTGACAATATTTCTGCAAATGTGGACTTGCTGAAATATTGTTTCAAACATAAATAAGCTGACGTCATCTACCAATACACATCTGTTATAATTATTGATGAAATCTTGGATTAGTTGACATTTGACTTTTTATGGGAATTTTCCGCACCTGCAGAGAGGCAGATATTTTGGTCTAAATATTCAGCAGTGTCAAAAAGTTCTAAGTAAACCCTGACCTACATTCTTAATGATTATTTTCATGTACATTAAAGCAACTTCCAAATAGTTTATATTTGTGTAACTTTGCATGTTCATTTATTTTTTGGTGATTTTACTTATTGAAGGGAAGTACTTTCGAAACATCATATTTTTATCAAGGCAAACTAAAATTGTTACCATTTTGAACTTGATATTCTAATTCAAAAAATATTTAATTCATAAAATTTGAAAGCAATTAAATGAAAAGGAATGTTTCGTAAACCATAAGTGGAGCTTACTATCTATGATAATATCATACTTTTATTTACCTGGTCATGACCCCTCAGGTAATTCTAGACAGCTATATTAAAATATCAGATTCTCTTATAGATAAATTAATACAGGCAAAGGTACACAATAGATCTTTCTTTAAAGGGGAACAGTCAGCATTTTTCGGGTCTTTATTGTGCTTTAGTCTTAAGAAGTACTAAAACACACGAAAATCGCACAATCCCTTCAAATATACCTCAAATTAGAATTTTCACTGTCTATTCCTATATATGTGTTTTCTATATAATGGCATAGTCTCACTAAAATTCTTGAATAATTATGGATACACATGGATTTGAAGTCTAAAATTTAGACTATGAGCTGTGAACACTATTACTGATTATGTAAGCTAAAATAAATTCCTGTTTCTGAAACTAAGGTATAATTGGTCGAATGGATAGTGAAGGTGCTCCTTTAAGCTCTACATAGACTTACATGGGCTACATAGCATTCATACACAACTTGTATCAAGTACCGGTACTATAACTTACCTTGTATCTTTACCAATTATTTACATTCACTCTTCAGTCGTATATGTCATTGGCTATTTTTACAAGTAATTTGTCACTCCATTCATGTAAAAGGAAGACACTCGTTTGTATTGAATTAAGAGTTGAAGTTTCAAGTTGACCACTTTAGAATTTCATACTGTGTTGATCAAGCTATCTGTTACTTGTAGCATCCTACAGCTTTCACTAGTCACATGACCTAGATCAACCAACCACATCCATTGACATAACAGTATAAGGTTTGATAGTTAAATATACTAGTGTGTACAGACAGAGATAAGGTGTATTAATGTGAATGGACACTGACTAACAATATTTCTAGGATTATTTCACTTTAAATAGTAGACTGGAAGAACCTCCACTCACCCCCAGCCCAGTTCCTGAGGCTAGTGCTCCAGAGCCTCAGGAGAGTGGAGCTTGTGGAACACCTAATGATACAAATATCATTAGTAATCATGTTAGTCCAAACAGTCCGACAACTCCTCGATCTCGAAGTGTTTACAACTTCATGGCTAGAATACGCAGACGTAAAATTACAGGTGAGATTTTTCTTAAATTCAAATTGATGGCCTTGAAGTAGGGCAGAGAAGTGGACAAACTGGTTCAGATCAGATTTATTTGAAATTTTAATACTGACCTAAACACTCTATGTTCAGTCAAAAATTGATCGTGACCAGAATTGACAATGTGTGACAACATATACTTTTGCTTTAGTTTAAGTGAAAACCTGTAATTATTGATTTGTCTTTTGTTGCTATAGAATTCCATTCAATATGCCCTGTTTATATTGTAGTACTAGAATAGCTGCTAGCTATATAGTTGAACTGTAATAGTTAAATATGGAAGGTGTTTGAAACCCTGAGGGGTTTAACAATGGAGATGTCAATTACTCCTATATATATAGAGAGAGAGAGATATTAATTGGTCAGATAGGATATCGACAATAGGATGAAATTGTTATCATCTATTGAATTTTTGAACAAAAGCCAGTTTTGTATTCTTCATATCTAGATCCCTCGACAGTTGGAAGTTGAAAAAGAGCAGACTAATGCCGCTGTTCTGGCAAAATTTCCTTCATTGCACCCTGCTTTGCATTGCTCATCCTATTTAGCCCACTTGGTGCAGAAAAGTAGGACGTAAAACTCCATTCATTTCCTTGAATGAATAGAGTCCTAATAATTATCCTGAATTATCCAACAAGCAATGGCACTATGTATTCTTGCCAAGTGCTTCTCTACCTACTGCACTGCTCTCCCATCTTGCCAAGATACCTACTCTGACTGTAGAGGTCGAAAATACAAATTTCTGAACAGAAGCAGTCAAAAAGTTACATCCATTTTGATGCATTTTGATGGACACATGTCTGGAATGACTAAGACAATTAGTGTCAAGAAATGCTTGCCATGATCAATTGGCTCTTATCAGTTTCTCATTATACTTTTCAACCCCCATTGACAAAGGAAAATGTGAATTTTTATCTGGTGCTGTTTGTTTCAATCAGAAATCAATTGTGGTTATCAAACTTTAGCCCCCCCCACCCCCCCCCTTTCCCAGCTCCATTATACCAAAACAATTAAATGTTTAAGGGGAATACAAGAAAGAGACCAATACATTAGTTTTAAAATGTATTGAGGCATTAGTTATCGTGTTTAAAGTTGGATGCCCTTTGCAAAAATGAGATGGCAATAAGACAATAGAGAAATGAGATAAGCTTAAATATGGTATAAATAGTTGATGTGGATGTACAGAAAAAAAAATTAGCTTGTGTTCCTGAGAGGCTCATGCACTGGCTCAAGGCTGCTCAAATTACAGTCAACTCTTTGTTTTCACTTTTACTCTTTGAAATTTATTCCCTATTTGAAAATGTTCATTCATAATATCCCATTCAGTTTTTTTAGAATTTCAAGTAAAATGTTATTATGATAGTATGACATGAAGCTAATGTATCTTTTATGATCTTTAACAATGACATACATGTTTTGACAAAAATTCAGACCGTAATATAGGCTAGTTAAATAATAAAACTACCATTTGGTTGTTTCATTGTTATCATGATGTAGATAATGATATATGTAATGTATAGTCAGGAGTTTCTAACTCTGTTTGCTAAAGAGATAAAAAAAAAAGTCTGTTGCAATGACATTTGAGTTGTTAAATTCTACAGTTTACTACCAGGTGTGTCATTTCAACTGATACATGATTTAGGTTTTAATTAACAGTCAGTGAATCAACTATTAAGCTTTAAAACATTAGACAATTTTTTTATGGTTTATCTCCAAATGCTTCCTAATTCAACCATAAGCTATTCCCATTCAACTTCTGTCACTTTTTTGTTTTGCCCTTTGTCTCATTCCACCTCCATCCCTGTTTACCACTTTTCCTACTTTTCTCCTTCCCTTTTTTGCCCCTTTCCTTTAATTCCCATTTCACCCATACCCATTAACAAAAGGATTAGACACAAATACACAAAACTTTGTTAAATCGTTCTCTCATGCCTTAAAATCAGCAGTACATTGATCAAACCTTTTACTTGCTGTGTGAAGCCTGTCTGAAGTATTTCATAATAGTCCACTGCAATTCTGCTAAAATAACAGAGACATTCAATTGTCATCGTGAAATGGCCTACTCTTTGGTAGGGAGTCGCGGTGGCTCAGTGAGTTAGGCGCTTGCTAGCTAACCTGAAGGTCCAGGGTTCAATCCCGGCATAGGTCAAGATAATACCTTCGGAGTTTTCAACCCAGTTTCCCCCTGTCAGTGATGCAGGTACGAGGGGCTGACATGGAAAAAGCGTCTAATCGTTCGGATGGGACAATAAACTGAGGCCCCGTGTGCTACAGGCTGTGCATGTTAAAGATCCCTCGTCAGTTGGAAATCGAAAAAGAGCAGGCTAATGCCGCTGTCCTGGCAAATTTCCCTCTTCGCACCCTGCATGGCGTTGCCCGTCTTCATTAGCCCACATGGTGCAGAAAAGTAGGACGTAAAACTCCATTCATTTCATTTCATTTACTCTTTGGACTCCCTTCATTTACAAGGGGTTTCTTAAACTTAAATGTGTATCGGGCGGGGACACTGATTTCCACCTTTCAAATTTTCAATCCAACGTCTGTGGTTCCTGCACTTCCACTAAAACTAAGTGGATGACGTCACTAATCATAAAATCTCCTTTATCACATAAGAACCTTTGTGACTAGAGACTTGTGGTTGACGAACAATAAAAACAAAATTTGAAAACTTTAGACCGTTGTCATTTCCAGACTGTTACTAATATTCTCATGTGTAGATATTACTGATTGTTGTATGGTATTAATAGCTTTAAATTATTTTGAAGTCAAATTCTGATGTGGCAGCCAGTGCCTTTGAATTCCCTGGTGAGCTGATACATAGAACAATATGTTGCAATGGAGGAAAAGTATCACTTTATCATCAAGTTTCATTGAAATCTGCAGATAATGACAGGTGCCACAATATTTGTTACTTTACAACAGAGCTAGCTTTGTACAGTATGTATTTTAATCGTCGACAATAATTGTTTCTTACCCGATTAATCCCGGTTAATTACTAAAGATTATAAAAGGAGTCAAAAACCGCATTTGCGGCGGTAACTCACCGTTAACTTAACTAGAGTAAGTGTAAATGAGTACCCAGGAAGATTTTGGCTAGTTCCCCGTGAATTGAATTGTCCTACAAATCGACAGATACCAAACAACCCATTGAAGATTATGACAGAGTTCAGACGGACTGGCGTCACTGTCACTCATTGCTACAGTCTCTAAAAGATCAAAGGTTTTTTTTATACCAGTAGTGTAATAAATTGAAATAATAAAAATAATAAAATAAAATAATAAATAAAACTTGCTCTTTTTTTTACTTCTTATAAAATTGACGGTTAACCGATTATCTCAAATCAGACCTGGTTAACCGTGAAGTACTACCCGAAATTGGTTAACTGATTAACAGTTTCAACACTATGAGATATACTAATATAGTCTATGTTGATATTGTCATCTACTATTTGTTTTATCATAAATTATACAGTTTGTAAACAGTAATAAAATAGCATACATTATTGACTTGAGTTAAAGGTAATTCTCTATCTATTATGCATGCATGTTAAATCTTTAAGGTCTGTTAATCTGACTCCAAAATATCTATCTGATCTCTTAAATTTAGATATCAAGATCTTCTACATACAGTATTAAAATCTGTACCAATACCAACAACAAAATATAAAACAATTGTGGACAGGTCATTCTGTGTAGCAGGACCACGGTTATGGAATACTTTAAAACACCTCTTTTTGAAAGAACCTTTACTAATACCACCTGTTTGTGTGTATAGATATTGACTAATGTAGATATATATATGTTTGTAAAGCGCCATTGAATGCTCATGTTATAGCAGTAATGAGCGGTATACCAAGATCAATAAGCTTACTCTTATTCTTAATGAAAAGGGGGAAGTCCCACTTTGATCTGATGTAGATTAGATTACAACGCCCATGTTTAGTCATCAATAAATTCACAATGATGTAACAATTGATATCCAGAACACCTGATGTCACTCTCTACTAAATATATCTACTAATATAAGCTTATACTAGATATATCTATTATGTAAATTCAGTATAAAAGAAGCAATAGTTTTTGTCAATGAAGTTTAAAAAGGATATTCAACAAAGCACGATTTAGATTTGAATTGATAACATAATTGTATTTTTAATGTTTTTTTAAAGATGGGTTTCCCTATTTTTCAGCATCAAATTCAGCAAACTATTTGATTAATTGGTGTTTCTATTGAATTCCTTTAAAGGGACATTCCACTTTTTTGTAGGTAGAAAATTTTTTTTGGCTCAAAATCGTGAAAACTATGAACCAAAATCTGAAAGTTTTAACTAAAAAAATCCAGCCATTTTTTTTTAACGTCGCAACTATACATAACCTTTTAAAGTTTGTTATGCTTTTTGCAAGCTACCGTATAGATTTATGTAAAATAAACACGTAATCGTAGAAAAAATTGTCTTCTACGTTTTCAACCAAATATAACGAGCCATTATAAAGCCAAAACTAGGTCAAATTGCTTAATTAACAATTAGTACTCTCGTTTTTAATTAACCCTTTTAAAACAAATTCAGTTTAATCAAGTTGATACATAGATATAAATAGCATACTTTAGAAATATTTTCAGGTATAATTTACGATGTTTTTGATAATGAAAATGTTTTACAAAAAGAGCAGAATGCCACTTTAAACAGTTAAGTAGCCCTAATGTAAATTATTGGCCTATTTGAAAAATTGAAGTTTGTATAAAAATGACATTGTATAGGTAACTAGTTAGTCAAATACCTATAACAGTAGATACTATAGAGTGATTTATTAGTAAATCTGCCCTCCAGCTAGAAGTTAATTATGACTATATAGTATTGTGACCAGACCTTACCAAATAAATTATAACTATCATGTTCTATAGGTAGATTATGTCATTTACATAACCCAATAATACACTTCATTATATTGTCAGATGTTAGTCCATTTTCACTTGGCCAATTGATTAGTAAAAGTAGTGGGTTGCAAACAAAATGACCAAATAAGAAGTAGCTTAGATCCACGGTTCACTGGTCACTTAGTATTCCGAATTATCTAACTCAATCTGGCCTCTGATAGATATTTGCTTGTGTAGTCAAAAAATGGTATGTCTGAACTACAAAATTATCCATTTCTGAATATATCTAGGTTTGGCGGATCTGAGGCTTCTAAATAGGTTAAAAAAAACTTCGCCTTTAGATGCGTTTACACCAACTTTCAAAATAGCTTGATCAGAGGCTGGAATAGAGGCAGATGTTACGGTCTAGTCTCTAAGATACATGGTAATCATGCTAGTGTTACAACCTTCTGCTTTTCATTGGTCTAATTATTTCACAATCTTGTAAAGAGTGCAATCAAATTCTACTTCTGAACCAAAAATAATATGTCCAATGCATCCACAGCCCTAGATCTAAGTCTTAGATGGTGATGAGAGCATAGGATCAAAAAAGCACTGGCCTAGGTCACAAAAAAAAAAGGATTAACTTTGTGACATCCAGACAAAAAGCTTTATTTGGGGTCAAATAAATTAAAAATAAGTGTACAGCTCCATTTTATTCCTTTTCACACTTCCTTTCAAATTCTGGACATTTTGACTATCAACTATAAAAGTGTTGGTTTCAGATTAAATAACTCATATCCACTATGAATACATCAAGTCAGGACTATCTTCATTTTCTTAAAAATTAATTAATTTTGACCTTTTTATGGGTGGTAGATATTCTTTGTAGCAGTTTGGTCTACATTCAAAGATAAGCTTGTACTTAGTCTCAGTTATTAAAGGGATTGTAAAGAGGTTTTCTAAAAATTTGTATGTGTATCGGAGACACTGATAGCATCAATTTTAACCATTCCAATTTTCAGTCAGACGTCTGTGGTTCCTGTAATTCTATAAAAATAAGAGTCTGATGATGTCACTAATCGCGAAGGCGTATTTTGCGATTAGCCACCACATCAAGCACTTATTTTTTTATGGAATTTTACCAACACGTCTGATATGAAAGTCGAAAGGATCAGATTGATGCAAACAGTATCATCAATACACATAAAATTTTTTTTTAGAAAACCTCTTTACAATCCCTTTAAGTCCTTCAAGATTCAGTTATTGAGGTCATTATGAAAATATGAAATTATTTTTTTATCAACATCATGGACAAAAGCCATGAATGTCATCCATCAATATAATTATGACAGGTAAAGTAAAATGTCACTCAATAGTATTGTTCTGGTTAAATAGAGTTATTTCCCTTTATTCATAATCGTATTAGTTTTATTGATCACATGAAATTGAATGGAGTATTACATTCTTTTTTTCTGCTCTTAAACAGTCTGGTGGAATCCAATACCCTATGCAGTGATGGCACATTTTTTTTCAATTTTCAATCGTAGAACCTTGTTTAAACCCCTTTTACATTACTCAGAATGGAACAGGTGAATTTTGTGTAATGTAAACAGGCGAACGCTCTTAAAACCAATTCTGTCCAAATCTGCTGAGGTGGTCTCGGAATGGTTCTCAAAATGGATTCAATAAAGTAGTGATATGTAATTGGTAACTGTGTGCGACCCTCACCCTTCCCGTGGAATTTAGTCATTTATCAGTGAAATTGTTGTGGATTACATCACGGTGACTACAAGGGTTAATTTGAACTTCTTTAAGAAGAGTTCCACAGATAACTGTGCTGAGAACACTGCACTACATTTACACTACAACTGAAGAACCATTCTCAGACCACTTGATTGAGTGTAATGTAAATGGGCACACCAAGAACTGAAAGCTTTATAGCTGTTTGGTGTAAAAGGGGCTTTTAATTTTCTGCTCCAAAAAAGGAGACATGTTTTTGCACTAATATCTGCTCATCTGTGATTATCTCAAATGAAGTCAAATGAGGTAGGACCATGAACGCCATTAACTGTGCAATTAAGAACATTTTTTTCAAAACAACAGGATTAACCTACTGACTTTAGATTTCTGAATGTGGAGGTATTTTGAGGCAAAGTAGTAGTTATTATTTTTATATTTTTGATTTTTAAATTTTAACACTTCAATGAAATTTTATAAATACATTGTGTCAAAGATGATAAAATAGTTCAAAGAGTACATTGACATATAAATTGTCACAGAGCTATGATAACTGTATTCATATCTTTAGCATATTTTTAAAAATAGCATATCATTTCCTTATGGCTGTGTTGTATACAGTTTCAAAGTGAGAAAATACACCTTTCTTATTGTGACTAGTTTCTGTTGAATATTAAATGATAGATTAGAATGTATTGTGACAAATACAGGTATGCTTTATGAATGAAAATGTAATATAAATAAATTATGAGGCTAGCTGGGGTAACATTTATTACTGTAAGTACAGTAAGAGTGTATCCAATCCTAGCATTTCATTTCATCAAGTGTGTATAGTGACTATAACAAATACCTACGTGGGTATATAATATAATATAAATGTTTAAGAATAGATCTAGTCTCACTCCTTTTACTGGTATACCTTGTTTCGTTAGAAGAGGTCTTATTTTTTTCATAAAGTCGTTTGACCGAACCCTTTGGTATTAAGTAAACATGAGTTAAATTGAAGTAAGAATTCTGTCTTGTTGTCTTAAAGTCGGAGAAAAATGTCAGCCAGCTAATTAAAATGGCTGTTTGCTTGATGTGTTTTTGTGATTAGCCTGATTGATTGTTATTATGACGGAGGTAGCGAAAAATGTCTCTGGTTCCGTCATTTTAAAATCGGTGAAAGAACTCGATATAGGTAAGAAAATTTATGTCATATATATTCCCTAAGTGAGCAATATGGTTGGCAGAATGCCTATTTACCTTTTGTTTATTAACTTGTTACCTTCAGATGTACAAATTAGGGTTTTTCTTATGTTAGTAAAGTTTCAATGATGAGTTCATTCATGTGTTTGGTTCAGCTTCTCTTTAATGTAATTTGTCTGTAGTACAAGATAAAGTTAAAAGCTTGTGCTCACTGCAAGATGGAGTGCCTATCTTTCATTTCACTCCGAGATGATTTGCCAAACTTGCCTTCAACTTTATTAACTTTATGTTCATTACAAGACAAAGTGTCAATATTATAATTATCTAACTTGTGTTCACTGCTAATTGAAGTGCCTGTATTTTATATCTAACTTGAGTTCACTGCTAGATGAAGACCAGTATTATGAATATTGTTTGTGTTCACTGCCAGATGAAGTGCCTATCTTATATTTTACATGTGTTCACAAAAAAAGGCGAAGTGCTTTGCTTATATTTAACTTATGTTCACACAAAAATTTGAAGTGTCAACATCACAACATGATTAAGTGCCAATCATGTATGTACACTGAGTTTACTTAAAGATTAAGTGCCAGTCCTATATTAAATTTGTGGTCACGGCAAGTGTCAAGTTTACATTCAATGGATTCTTATCTTTAAAGGGATTGATTGGGGGTTGATTTTAGTCTAGAATATATGTAAATAGTCTTCAGAAGTACTAGGTACAAAAATCGCATACCGGTAATTCCTTCAAAATTATCTCAAACAAGGAATTTTTTCTCCTATTTCTATAAATGTCTTTTCTATATATGTCTGACTCTCAAGAAAAGATGAGTTGTCATTTTAATTTTCAAATGCGGATAATTCTTCACACACTTTGATTTGAAGGTTTCACTTCACTTCACTTACACAGAGTCTCATAAAAGCCCAGGCCACAAAGTAAAGATTTATGTTGATTATTAGTGAATCACTTATAGTGATGGTAATTAATTTGGTATCACTTCTTTTGGAGGTATTACTGACCCTTTTCATTAAGTATTTGTACCTTCGGAAAATCATTGATATGTTTATTGTCTGTCAGAAATGAACATGATTGTTGAAGACCACCAACTAGGATATTACTGGGTTAAAATGGCTATTAAGTAATGTTACCAGTTACCAATTAACACATTTCAATGTATAAATACCAACAATGATATTAAGGGCATTGTAGGGTGTGGTTACCATTGCATTTATCTCACTAATGATCAATCAATTTATCATAGAAATGAATTGACATTACTTGACATATATCCTGTATCGGGATTCTGTATCATAGTTGATATTATAGGCTATATTGTGCTTTAAGTCTTAAGAAGTACTAAAATGAATGAAATTGGTATAATCCCTTCAAATATACCTTAAAATAGAAATTTCACTGTCTATTCCTATATATGTGTTTTCTATATATGGCATGGTCTCATTAAAATTCAAGTCGAATTTTTAACTTTGAAACATGAATAATTATGGACACATGGATTTGAAGACTCCAATTTCGATGATGAGCTGTGAATACTATTACTGATTATGTAAGCGAAAAAAATTCCTTAAAGGTGCTCCTTTAAGTCATTTACAGTCAACATGTATTTTAGGTAAATCTCATGAATAAAACATGACAGACGAACCCTTACATAAGAAAATGTTCATTTTGAATGGTTAACCTGCTTGATATCAAATTATACTGTGTACATTGCTTATGGTGCATTTTCAATTTCTTTTTATACTTTGATGTGGTATATAAGCTTACGACAAATTTCTTTTGATAGGTGTTAATTCAATACTTTTCAATTCAAAAATCAAAGGTATATCTTAAATACTCTATCTTAAAAAAAGATAAGAATGTACGTATCAAATTTAAAGTCTCACACTTAGTCAATAAGAGTACCAGTATAATATATTCATCAGATAAGACTTACCAGGTGAAAAGAAATAGAATCTCTTTGTAAGATCTTATACCCATGAAACACAGAAATTATATATTTCAAAATTACTTAGTTTAATGGATTTGTTGGATTACAGTACTGAGGTATTCTGTTGTATAGTCATGACACTAGGCCACGTATTCTCGAAACGATCTTGGCGCTAGGATGTCCTAGAATCAATGTTAGAAGATAAGAACTTAGGATATCCTAGGGCTAAGATCGTTTCGTTAAAAAATTTCAATATACTTTAGTATATCTTGAACTTAAAGATAATTTATATACCTACATAAGTTTATACTACACATTGGTATGTTGTGACGTATATTTGTCAATATGAAAAGACATTAATATGTCAAAGTTGTCATGAACTTTGACTGGTCACTTTTTAACCTGTATTATCATATATTTAAGTAGTATTTTCTTTCCATGTATAATTTAGATGAGATTGTTGACCAATGTTAAATTTTATTTGGTTGATGTTTTGTGATCTAGCTCATAGCAGGTTGGTTATAAAATTCTAAGTCTAAGTGGGATATCTCAAGCAGATGTAAAGGAATTTTTGCCACCATGGAGAACGCTATTATAATGAATCACATAAGAACTGGAACTGTAATGTTATTATTGTCTATGTATGAGACCATCTTGTGAACATCAATGGGTCAGAAACATACCATCTTCATGGCCTCCAATGACAATAAAAATTTTGGAAATTGAAAACTTTTGAAAAGTTGAAATGAAAACAAAATAAAACAATGAGTTTTATAAACTGCTGGAGGGTGAATTGAAAGACAATCAATCTCTTTTGCCGGTAAAAAAAATGAATAATGCAGATTTGATAAAATAATCTATTTCATATTGGTTAAAACTAGTGTTGGGTATCGTCTATCAAATCACGATACGATAGTTTCAAGTGTCACGGTATGATACGATATGTTTCACAATACAAGAGTCATGGTATGATCACGATACAAGGGTCATGACACTATATGTGATCCTGTATAGGGATATTTTTGACAATTCATACTTAAGTCTAAGAAACTGGAATTTTTTAGCTGAGCTAATCAGTAATAGTGTTCACAGCTCACTGTCGAAATATTAGCCTTTAAATCCATGTATCAAGAATTATCTGTGGCTGAATGTTGAAATGACGACTCGTCAATTTAAGATACTCTGTGATAAATAGAAAAGACATATAAAGAAATAGTGAGTAAAATTCCTAGTTTGAAGTATTTTTAAAGGACTTATGTGATTTTCATATATTTCTAATACTTCTGAAGACTATATAATCAAGTTTAAAAGCAACCCCCAAAAAGAGCCCACCTGTCCCTTTAAACGAAAGTGTCGCCCTTACAAATAAAGGTACAGAATGGTAAAATTGTCAGGTCATGTAGGCTACTCTACCTTTCCAGTAGATTTATTTATGCAATTTATTTATCATATTATTAGAATAAATAAATCAAAACATCAGAGACTGGACTTTGAACCCAGAAGATTATCAGTTCAATTATTATCTGCAGAGGCAAGTGCCAAAAGATTAAAATTATCCACAAAAAAAAAACTTCCTACAAAGGCATTGTTGGACTTAACGATTTTTAAATTACACTTCTGGTGCTGGGTTCTCTCTCCCCTCCTACTACTAATGATAGTTTCAACAATTCTTTTTGTTTGAAATAAACCATCATTTCCTTATCTTACACACAAAGAGTTGATATTTTTTTAAGTGTTGTATTGTTTTGGATTAATATATGTAACAAGTTGTTAAGATATTTGTTAAAGATGTTAGTAAAATGTTAACCTAAATGAAAGTATAGTATCTGTACTTGTACTAAATTGTATAATTGGGCAAGTTTAAACATCTACAATTATTAGATGCAGAGTTATTGCCCCTGTTCATGAACATTTGAATTCAGTTTCAGTTGAATTGTTTCAAATATTACGATCCATTTTAGGCTATTATTTATTAACTGAAGATTTGTTGTTTTCACAACTGTAAATATCTGTAGATATATGACGTCAATAAGTGTAAAATATGCTTTATCACACAAGGATTTCGTGTATAGTGAAGTCATAAAACGCTTAGTTTTAATAAAATTGTAGGAACCACAGACATCTGATTGAAAATTGGAATCTGCAAATTGATGCAACAGTGTCCCTGATACAAATAAAAAATTTAGAAAACCTTTTTACAATGCCTTTAATGAAAATCCTAAACTCACTTAATAATATTTTTTAATATTATTAAAAATTATAATTCATTTGCCATATGGAGACACGACTGAGTCCTATTTTTGTGAGACTGGCACACCCTTCACGTTTGATGATTTTTTGTAATTTTTTCTATTTTAGACAGTAGAAAAAATGGTGATATGAAAACAGGATCACTGGGTATGAATACTCCCCCTCCAGAGAGAAAGAGCAAATTCTCAGCATTAGGTAGATTATTTAAACCTTGGAAATGGAAGCGAAAAAAAAAGAGTGAGAAAATAGAAAAAACAGCTGTAGGTAAGTTCTAGTGTGTCAAATTATCAAGATTGTAAATAAGGTATAAGCTACTCATATATCCATATTGATTTGGTGGTAAAATTAATTAATTGATCGATTTATTAAAACAATAAACAACCACAAAATACCATGATCAATTTGTTTCCTTGAAAACATTGATGGGCTATGCGATAACCACCCCTCGAACAAAGTTTATATGAATTATCTATGATTAGAAATATAGGTGAATCAACTATTTTGATGGACTTATCAGTTTTAGTGATTTCAAATCTGTCACCCTTCTTGTGCAATATTTAATGTTGTCAATGGCCGTCTGCTTCCACTTGCCTGAACTAATGACAGGTTATCTTGACACCTAAAGGACTGGTGCGGGCACACAAGGGTTTTGGTCAGAGACTTTTGTCGTAGATTAGAGTCTTGTCTTGAGTTTCAACAATTGGCACAGGCAGACGAGGAGACAAAAATCTCCAGTCGGTCGTTTTCCACCTTGTTGATAATAATGTGCAGAGCATGCAAATGAAAGGAAAAGGAATCTGATTGGATGATGACAGTCTGTCTTGCAGACGATAAAGCTATCGGAGACAATTATCAAACTTGTTTGATATAAATCCTGTCAGTGACACGATCATTTTGTTGTGAAAGCTTGGACACACGCTAGATTTTACTCAAGATTTGAGTCAAAACAAAAATCTCCGACTAAGACTGCTAGTTTGCCCTCACCTTTATTCGCCTGCAGTGGTGGTTAGCTTAGACCCTGATGGGAACCAGTGTGACACTCAAATCCTGAAAGTCTCAGGTGCAATCCTAACTTTTTCAGATTTTTCAATCTCCCTCCCCCAGTGATACAGACCAATGTCATTCAGAGGGAAATAGGTAAAACAGCAATAAGAGAAGACTCAGGAAAAATAGAAGTCGAATTCCTTCAGTAAAAACATTGAGTTTCCTGCTTTCTTGAGCCTATAACTATAATATGAATTGATATTTTTAGATTTAGAACGTAAAATATCTATGAGAACAAGTCGTGATGAATTGATTAGAAAAGGTGTTTTAAAAGATGTTGAAGAAATACCACAAACTAATCATTTGCCAAAGATAGGTAAGAGAGTCTATGATTTATTCTTTTATGTTAGTGGAAGTTTTTAGAATATTTTACTATATGTCAAGACTTCGGGCGAGGTGAATATGGCAACAATTGATGATTCCGAAAAATATATATAATTTATAATATAATTAATATATAATATATATATATAATAATATAATTATAATAGATTAGAATGTATGTATAGTGTTCCAGCATCTTTGTCAAAACTCCTTGGTTTTAATAACATACACTGCGTACAGGTCAGCAAAAAAATCTGGAGATCGGGTGAAAATCTGGATATTTGCCTTGAAAAATCTGTAGATTTTTGCATAAATTGCTCTGTAAAAAAAAAGATAAGCCTTAATAATAAGCTATGTAAATTAATTATTTATCATAGGCCTATATATGATGCCTACTTGATACAGTAAAAATTAACAAATGCAAACAGGCTAAGCATACCCAGGCATGAAATAACTCTAGAAATAGTGTCTGACATTCTTAGGCTTCTGCTGCTCTCTCAAGGGGGATCACTCTAATTCTTAATACAATATCAAATGTTATATCATACAAAACTACGAATGAATCTTACATGTAATCTCTGTCTCGACTTAAAAAGTGAAATTTTGAAAAAGGTCTAATATTTAAAGGCTAAAAAATGGCTTAGCTGAACCATGAGGCCTTTGTAAGAAATTCGACTTGCTAAGTCGAGGTAGAAATCAAAATGGCGGTGAATTATATGCGTGTGTGTTATTTCCATGTAAGAACCATACATTGTTTTGTATGATATTATATTATATTATAAAAGAGTTACACCAACACCTTGAATGTAATTGAATTGATGAATGAATATGATTTTGAACAAATATGAAATCGGTCATGTTGCCATTGCACATTTACACACATTTGAAATGTTTCTAACAATCAACATACTGGTGTCAATAATAAATGATCGCTTTACTACATGTTTTGCCTCTTCATGTTTTTAAAAAAACTAAGTTCTCAAACACCAATGATAAATCATATTGTCACAGGTATAAATTATGGGAGTACAAAATGCTCTGATTTATAGCTCAGAACTTGTCGAGTTCAATCAAATTAATATGAACTTTTTTTGAAGATGAGCTTTAAATATCTCTTTGATATTGTTAAAATTTACAATAATAAAATATTTGCACTGTTAAAATAGTGTTTTACTATATTAAAACATTGAAATGTACTTATGTAAATTTGTAAGTTTGTTGAGAGCGAATATGTAATATAATTGTTTGGAAGAATAGACATAATGACCTTGCCATGCAGTCTGCAATGAGGGAAATTTTGCCAGGACAGAGGCATTAGCCTGCTCAATTTCGATGTCCAACTTTGAAGGGATCTTTAACATGCGTAGCCTGTAGCACAAGGGGGCCTCAGTTTATTGTCCCATCCCAACGACTAGACGCTTTTTCCATGTCAGCCCCTCTTACCTGCATCACTGACAGGGGAAAACGGGGTTGAAAAATCCAAAGGTATCATCTCAACTTATGTCAGAATTGAATTCTGGACCTTCCGGTTAGTGAGCAAGTGTCTTAACTCACTGAGGCACCACGGCTTCCTCCAGAAATATGGAAAACCTCATTAGGGTTTATGTCATTTACCAATTACATGTAGGTAGACTACGTGTAGAGATTCATATCGTAAATTAAATGAAAGAATTTGTAGAATTTCAACTGTTGTAGTTGTAATTGGTGTAAGTTATATTACTTGTAGATGATAAATAGTTGACTGTCTTGACCTGTAATAGCCTGGGGTTAGCAGACACATTGTTAACCTGCTGATAATAAATACTCATACCAAACTACATAATTATAATTCTTACATGGAAATAAAACACGCTAACATAGTTAACATTAACCATTTAGAACAAGCATGTGTAACCTTTCCGCAACGGAGGGCCACATTTGGGGGATGCGAGTAGGCCGTGGGCCACGTAACCAACCATCAATTAATCATAGAATTAACAATGAGAAACATGCAATTTTTTTGAGTCATTTATTCAAAAACGCATTTCAGTGTGCATTGCAAATAACAGACATATTTGATGTAAAATCAGTTTCACACTAGGTCATTTCCTTCAAATTTTACATGACGCCACGGGCCGCAGTTGGTCCACGAGCCGTAGGTTGCACAGGCCTGATTTAGAATCATTATGCCTAGACTTTTAGATTTAAGCCTTCTAATCACATGTAAATGTGTTTTTTATTGGCTGCTTGTATACTAAATTCTATAAAACCTGATATGTATGTGTGAATTTGAAACAGCCACAATATGGTCTGGGATTTCTTAAGATGATGGCGCTCATAAAGAGAAAGTTTACAGACGCTGTAAATTTTGCTCAAGTTTGTAAAAGTGGAAGTTCCAGATGTTAAAGGGACAGGTGTGAAATTATGAAGGTTGATTTTAGCTTGAATATTCGTAAATAGTCTTCAGAAGTATTAGAAATGTATGGAAACCACATAATTCCTTTAAAAATACTTCAAACTAGGAATTTTACTCACTATTTCTATTGAGTATCTTAAATTGCATGGTGATGACTGTGTCTCTGTTTTACCAACCAGCTATGGGGAAAACTCTCTTTGTAATGCAAACTGTTGAAAATAGTTGTTTACAGGTATTTCATTAATAGTGTTCCCAGTTTTCAAAAGTGATTTGGTTTGAGTCACTACTTTTAACATGGAGGTGAACTGAATTCTTGTTCTGATTCTATGTCAGGCGAGAAGTGTTGTATGAAATGACCTAGTTATATAATAGAAATTAACATGACAATATAAACATTTAGATTACTGAATGCATATTTATAAAGATATGACTATCAATAGTTTTCATTATGTTTAAGGGATTGTAATGTGGTTTTCTTCTTCCTGGTATATTGCCCTGTCTGAAATTGACCACTCAGACACCAAAACTGAAAGAAAGGAAAAGAAACAGGGTTGAACAATCTGAAAGTATTATGTTGACCTATTGAAAGTTCTGTATGGGGGAGAAAACTCCTGAATTTGTAGATCCCTCCCAGTGGAAAACACAATCATTACCAATTGTCTGTTCTGTTTTTATTTTGATGATGCTTTTGTGTTCTATAAACATTCCTCAAACCAGCAATCAAATTGTTAGCACATGAGTGACCAAAATGGTAGAGACAGAAAACTTTTTAGGTGGAGAGAGCAAATTCTTGCCCCAGGTGATCTGTATAGAGTCTTAGATTTTGTGGTTTCTACGTGACACATTCATAGAAATGAAAAATCAGTGGTCCTCTGTATTCTGCTGCAATAGTATATACAGGGAGTGCTCACTTGCTTAAAGGCTAAACTGAATTTAGATTAGGGGAGATGGAATATCACTTGCTAACACATTACAAGAGTTTGTTGTATGGTTGGAGTTTGTAAACCAAATGTCCATAAATTTTATATGTAACGAATGTACCACCACCACCATCTTGGATCGAGGCAGACATACAATGACATAGAACATCTGCCTAACTCTTTTCTTCCATAAATCACCACTATTGTGCTGGCACAAATCTTTTTTTGACGCTGCCCTTAAATTAGTTAAATAGTTAAACAGTATCTAAAGGTATAAATATCTAGTTGTTTACATATTGAGTCATTATCAGTAACTTGTTACATCTAGGTTATTCAGTACTATAAGTCTGCTGTGAACGAACATTGCAATGATTGTCTAAGATTAGTTGACATAATTGGTTATGTTGGAGAATTAGCTTATCAGCAATTATTGTTTTGATTTGAGCAAAAAGACATTCTAAACCAAATGCTCGATCAGGCTGCATTAATTGAGGATTCAAAATGTCGCACATAAAATCGCAACTTGTAGTTGAAACTTGCCCCATTGTTGTATTCTGCAAGTTCATATGTGATAAACTTACATTTGGATGCCAAAGGTGATATTTTGATAAAAAATACATTTTGTTATGTGTTTGAAAATTTGGGCTTCGTGAGGTGGCTGCGTTGTTTCAACACTATATCTTTTGAATATCTTTTGGAACGACTCCAATAATTCGGGATAAATGCCATCTGTTTCCATTTTGAATCTCAAAAATCAACCTTTTATAACTTCCGCTTGACTGTCACTGCACTTATTCTTCGGCCTGAAAATCTCTCATCTCACAAAATCTGAAAGAAAATGCAATTTCAGACATCAAATTCCAAAAATAGTCAAAAATATCCATACAAAGAACCTAAAAGGGAGGGAGAAAGAGGATTTCTTAAAATAACACGGAGTATATTGGTATACAAAATGTTTTTACTGGAGTGGGTCCTTTTGCTGAATTTGACATCACTGAAAAGAGTTATTTCCCTTGTAATATAGAGGCAAGGTGACTAATAGAAGACTGTATGTACAGACTGGGCAGGTTTTACCTATATACCATGTGTCTATTTATAGAATATAGGTGAAAGAGGGGTAAAGACTGGATGTTCAATAAGTCTATATTACACTTGTTATGGCAGTTTGCAACTGACCTCATTTTTCCATCCCATCCTGTTTGCCAGTCTCAACAGTTTTTGACTGATTTCAACTGGTTATTAATGTGAACATGGTGAAAGGAGAATGGGATGTTCATGTTACTCTAAAGGTAAGTGAACATGGTGAAAAAGTTGAGGGAGTAGATGTTGAAGTAAAAGCTGTTTGACAGGTAGTTGATTGTAACTGGTGTACAGACATGACTAGATTATCTTATCTTTCTCATGGTTTAATTCTATTATACACTCACTACATTGGTTTCTATCAATATTATCTTTACATCCTCTAGAATGGCTTACACACATTATTCACAGCCTTCTTTAAATCCTTTATGATATTTTACATATCTTTATATTCTATAGGGTGGCTTATTTACAACTTTTTACATGTCTTTCTGATATTCTACAATGTCTTGCATACAATTTCTACATTTGTACATTGACATCATCTAGAATAACTTATACACAAAACTTTTACATTTCTTTACATCTTCTACACTGGCTTATATACAACTTCTGCTATACCTTTACTTATTCTACGATTCCCCCTTTTATTGATGCAGGTCGCAGGGACTGACCTGGCAAAACCATCAAGTTGTTCAGATGGAACAATAAACCAAGGCCCTTAATCCTGGGAGACGAGAGGAACTAGCTTTAGGAAAGCTAATATACCACTTTTACTTTTCTTTACACCCTCTAAGAAGGCTGCATTGGTATCATATTATCTTAATTTTTGTAATGAAGTTTTAATTGCTGATATGGGATCAGTAATAAGTTGTTCTTCCGAGTTTTTAAAAAATTAAGGGCTTTCTTGCTAGGTTTCCTTTAAGCTTGTAGCTTTTGATTATATGGCCTATGTGTAATTTTTGCTGAATTGATCCTTAATGGAGAGGCTTATTCTCTTGGGTG